GCCGAACAGAGAAGCTGAAATTGCTCCAGCAACTCGACAAAAGCAGCCGGCCATTAAAAAAGGCGCGACATCGCGGAGAAACGGAGGAGGAGACGGCGGTGTTTCGAAAAGAAAAATAGGGGAAAAAAGTTTTGCTTACGTGACCATAGCACCAGCAGAAGATTTACACGTCTGACCTTGGGGCGAAAATCTTGCTGCAATCTTCAATAATAAAATTAAATATAATTGCCGGAGGGAGACGAGAGAATAGAGCAACAACAACAATAACAATGGCAATGGCAAATGCAAAAGCAAACTGCCAATCAAATTGTCAGTCAAGTGGAAAAGAGCAAAAACTGCAACACGAGCGCGCCAGCGAAGAAATTTCCCCCCCAGCAAAAACTTCTCGCTCTTCCCGCAGAACAGAACAGAACAGAACAGTTCAGAACTGAACAGTACAGAACAGAGAGATCGGGCAGAAAACTAACACCCCGGCCATATACCATATACTATATACTATGTATATACTATATGGGATGTGTGCGAAACTTGGCAAAAACAAATAGTGCACAGACCTTGAAACGCTGCTGGGATTGGAGGCAGCCGAAACGACAGCAAAACCAACAACAACGAAATGCAAAATCACCCTGGAATAACCGGCAACAACTGAAAACTAAAATACAATACAACAGCAAAAACAACAACAACAACAACAAAAAATGCAACACGCAAACCTAGAACCGAAACGAGCGAAACAAATCGACAAGCGGATGGAATGGCAACAATACCAGCCGCCGCAGCGATGTTAAAAATAAAGAAATAAACAATCAAATACTTGCAACTATTTCATAAGAATCGAACTGGGAATTGAGCATCCAGCATCCTCGAATTGGAATGACCCTTAGACTATTCAAACTGATGATTTTCACTATCACTTGGCAATCCGATAAAATCTGATAATTTAACTGAAAACTTAACAAAAAGTCAAGGTTGATTCCAAATTTAATGTTTATTTATTGTTTTACTTAAGAGCTGTTCAAAAGGAATTAAAAAGGAGATTTTATTTTAGTTTCATTTTTGTTAACTAATTTTTTTTTGGATATAAAATTTTATTGATTAATTTTATCCTTTGGTAGCGCTTAAAATACGATTAAAAATACTATAATGCCTTTTAAAATTCTGCATATTTACCAAACACCTCTTTGAATTGCAAATAAGCCGATTAATTTGAAGTGCAGTTTTTTCCGTTTATCGTCAAACATATAAAAAGTTATTTTCTCGTTTGCCAGCAAACTTGCCAAACACTGGCTTTCCTACCTTTGATTGATTAACCATTAAAGCCAATTGAATATTAATCACGGTATTAAATGCCTGTGCACATTACCTAATTACTTGTGAGGGTATTTCAAGTTGACCTCAAATGCTTTTCCAAAGATGCATTCTGCAGCAGCGGCAACTGAGGCAATTTGTAAAATGAGCGGATTGCAGATTGCGGAATCGCAGGAGGGAGCTCCAGGGGAAGGTGGTAAGGCAAAGGCTTGTGGTTATGGGTTTGTACTTGGCACCAGCTCGTTTCATTATCATCTTCATTAGAAGAGAACGAGCGAACGAGATGCAGCGAGGGCTGCCAGATAAGCCGAGGCGGATTCTCCATTACATTTCAGAAAAGCGCCGCGCCGTCGTCATCGTCATCGTCTTATGGCGCAGTAAAGATTTATTTTCCATAGTCGCCGCCGTTGTTGCTGCTGCTGCGCCGCCTATAAATTTTACAGAATCTGCCAGTACAGCGAACACTCGGAATGTGCTTCAAACACCCAAACAATTACTAGTTAATCAATTAGATATTTAGAAAGAATTGTTATCAGTGCTTGAAATGAAAATTAAACTATTAGAGCCAGATTAAAGAAAAACATTATGTATAAATATTGGCGGAAAAATTACGTTTTGAATACAGAAGTTAATAAAATATATCTATTTAGAAGTTGTATTTGCTCAAGTCTTATTCATTTATTTAAATTTAAATAAACTTAAACTCACCCTAAAGACAATATTATTACTGTACAAGGCTATAAAACAAATTACTGATACAACAAATACTTACAATGTTAATATACGATATGACTCAAATGAGTATAATAATAATAATCAAATAATTCTAATAATTTTGTAAAATTTTCCTAAAGGGTTTAATAAATTTAAGTTTTTAAGAGAAACCCATATCGTTTAAAAAATACAATTCCTTTACTTTTACGGAATATTAAAAAAATCTTAGGATACTATACACACACATTTTCCTTATAAGGAACTGATGTTAAAAGCTTACCCAAGCTTACCAACAAAAGATTATAGTAAAATAAGACCGTAAAACCTATAATATAAACTGTAATCCCACACCTTGTCATGCAACATTGAGTATAATGCCTTTTGGCTATCACTGTATTACGGTTTTAGTTTTGCAATAACTTTTTCATGCTGTTGTTGTGCGGAAATTTCGCTGTACTTTTTTAGTTGCTCAGCGCCGCCCATTTGACCGCAGCGCAAGAGTGCGAAAGAGATGGATAATGAGCGGGATGCGGAGAGCGCGAAGCTGGACGGCAACTAAATCATGTGACTTTTTCCTCTGCCCGCACAGAAACGCTTTTTGTCGTCCCCGAAATGGACTTCCAAAGTGGATTTTTTTATGCGAGAATTTCGGTTATTAAGCAAAGTTCAGAACAATGCAGTTTTGCTGATTTGTTGCTGCCGCCGCGATGAGTTTAAGTCGCACTTAATGGCCAGGGGGATTTTGTTTTCAGGCCTTCTTCTGGGGTTAAGGGTTGGGTGGGACCGGGGGTTGCGAATTGGTTATGGTGGGGTTCGTCTAATGGAAACCAAGCTGGGAATTACCTCAGCGGAGGGTAGCTAATCTATTGAAAGATTCTGCTTATTACCGATGAATTCTGGGAATTCACTATTTTTTTGCAAAGGAAACATCTAAAACGAGCTCTACTCTAAATGGGCTGATTATTCCGAGCTGTTGTTTTTAGCTTTTTGCATTATTAACGAGATATTTATAGTTGCAAGAATTCAAATTACTTGAACTTAATTGTTTGCTTGCTGATTTTCCAATCAAGGAATATCAGCAGAGTAATATAGTTTAATTTAAATAATGACACTTATAGAATTTTTCGGTCTTTTAATTTAAATTTAAGATTATGGGTTACAGGATACCTTGTTTAATTACAAACCCTATCTTAGTTAAGCTAGAAAGTTCACTAAAGCAATACTCCGACTACTCTCTTTTGTATTATTTCAATAAATCCTTTATTTAATCACATAAATGCCAGGGAAATCGATTAAATTCATACCTAATTGCCAACAGAATTCGCTCTCCACGGATTCGGGCATGGAAATGGGTTGATTAACTCACAATTTCCAACTTATGCAGAGGTCACGGCATAACCATTGAAACCCAATTTTGCACTAATGATGTCTAATTAATTGCACAAATAGCTTCGATTCAGTAACGCTTCCCCGTTCCCAACTTTCGATATCCCCCGCCACCCTGACAACTTTGGTTTATTGTTAGAGGGGACAATTGGTGGAATTGGTAGGAGGACGGCGTCTGGTTTCCATGGAGCAGGAAGACAGGCTAACCGATGACTGATGGAGCCATAATCGTTGCCATTAGCTACCCCTCTCACCCATTGAGTGAAATACAAAACTACGAGAGTGCTCGACTGACTGACTGACTGGCCTTGGGCAAAAGATTGGCCAAGTTTATGCTAAAAGCAGAATATGCAGTAAGGCCGACGAGACAGACGAATCAAGTTGACAAAAAGGTCGGCGAGGCGAGCGCTTCTTTGGCTTATTATGAATGCATATTTCAGGCTTAATCCCAAAGTGGCAAAACGAGAATGTTGCAGGAGCTGCAGCACCGATGAAACGATGGAACGGCTTTTGGGCAGCCGGCAATCCAATGTGGCAACATTCACATCAAGTATCTTGTATCTCGGATCGCTCTGGTTTCGTTTCGCTGGCTTCGCTTCTTGTTCCCTTCGGTTTTTGGCCCGGTCAACTGGTTTGCGGGGATAGCCTCTTCTTTTAATCGAGTTCATCATTGTTCATTATTGTCGCCACGGCTCTTGCAAGTGTTTAATTTTATGCCGCCTGCTGCTTCTGCTGCTGAAGTTGCTGATTCTGCCTCGAAGGTCAACAAGTGCCAAGGAGGAATTGGCCTGGCCAAAAACTGGAACTTTTTCGATTTCATATGCCTACGCCTTCGATGGAAATTTTAATAAGCCGCCGAAGGTCAGCAACAGGAGATTTCAGACCTGCGGTTTGGCCAGCAAGTTTGCCTTTCATTTTCTGGCTTCTTCAGATTCGGGCAGCCACATCAAAAGCCCGAGAAACTTCCACAAGGAATTCTAATCGGAAAAGTTTTTTCCTCCACCCAGTGCAGCTGGGCCTGGGAAAATCGGTCGGTTCGGTCTGGTCGAGAGCCAACAATTTCCACAAGGTTGTCGTCGAAAGCCTCAATTTGTTTACAACCAACCGCACACGATGACGATTGCATGTCACATTGAGTTTTTCATTTCTACCGCCGCAAATGCACGCGAAAAGCACTTGAGCGAACCACCTGAGGAGCCGATCAACTTTCGGGGGTGGACAGGTGGGCGTGGCACGCCCCCAGTTGACACACAAATTAGTGGCTTCCCAGCGGGCTGGCTGGCACTCCAAGTTCAAGATGGAAAAAAACGCTGGATAATTTGCATCTGTTAACCACAGGAGGGGAACCGCGGAAAGTTAGTGAGCATTAAGAGAAATTACGGCACTGCAGGTCGAAGTTGAACATACACTTTGACTGTAGAAAAGGTAGTTAAAAAAATAATGAGCTATATCACAGAAACTTGAAGTTGTTGCAAATGCGACAAGATTTCTTCTTTTTTTAGCATGATACCGAAAGCGCTATAAAATAATTAAAATAAATGTTAACATAATATTCCTCTGTTTAAATTGTATTTTATTGGAGTCAATTTAAATGTTTACTGCTTTAAATATAGGAATAATTTTAAATTGCTGATATATTAATTTGGTGCTTATATTGCTAAGATAAATTTGTGAGGTTCTGGACTCCTGGTTGATTTTATTTTGACCACTATTGAAAGTGAATTTTTGAAATATTTTAGATATATTTTCAACTCTATAGTACATGATTTGCCCTACAGAAAATCCAATTAACAGTTCGTAATATTTTCACTCGCAAATAAAAGATCTCCACAAGAGGGTATAAAAGATCTCCCAATACAACTGCAATTTCAAGTGCATACACAAATTACCAGTGCAAACAGACACACAATACTCGTACTTACGGCAAACAGCAGTGGAGGCCCTCGGTTAGGCATATTGAGTCAGCAGCGTGGCCATCACGGCCGGCGGATACATTTGTATCTGGAGTGTGTGCGCCGCAGATAAACCAGATACAGATACAAATGCCCAAACACATGCAGATACGTATCTCGATGTTGGCCGCGCTCGAATTACAGAAAAAATCGTGCAAATTGTATTTGCTCTTTTGGGCACAAATACTCAATCATTCGGCCAGGTCTAGTCTGTCATTTTCCAGATACAGATATACATAGATACAAATACAAAGATACATATACTTACTTACCCACAGAACGTGTTTAGCCGTGATGGACAAGGGCAAGGGATTTTTCACACTCTGCCGTTTGCATAATTGATTCGAACAGATCCAATTGGAGGTCGGTTCGAGTTTCGCTCGGTTCGCCGTTTTTGCGCAGGTGTTCCTCCCAAGAACTTTAATGAGATGTCAGCCGGATCGATTGGGTTAATTTCGGGGTAAACAAAATGACTGTGAAGTCGGTCTAATTAGCTGAAATCAAACATTGAATTAGTCACACTGTAAGTGAGTTGGGTGTGGAATTTTAGAAGTGTCGAAGGTGGAATTCCATTTAAACAAAAACAATTGCAGAGAATGAATATTTAAAGTTGATATAGAAATAGAAGAACAGAACAAATGGAAAGCCAAATAATAAGTAATATTGAACTTATTACTCAATTTTTAATATTTTAGTTAAGCTTCAGGAAATATTTAAAAAATAATAAAATAAACAAACTAAGTTTAATTATCTTTCGACGTCATAAATGCTTATTAATATCATAAGTTCTAGCTTTAAAGGCAAACAAATGGCCAACACAAGCGCATTTAAATAATTTGATGCAAATCCGAATGCAAAGCATAAACAAATGATTGACATAAATTACAGAAAATGGCTGCCACACAGCTAACCATGAAGATCATTCAACGTTGGCTTCTGCAAAATCTTTTCCCTGGCTGCAATTGAAATCATAAATTCTAGCAGCTTAATGACCAGAGTCAAAGTGGAGTCAAGCCAAGTGGAAAATTGACTAAGAGGGGAACGAGTCGAGGCTTTGTTTGCTTTGTTCGGTTCGGTTCGGTTTGGTTTTGTAATTATATTTTGAACTTTGCCGCCAAGCTGCAAAACGTGCCTAATTGATATTCTTAATGGCCATACACAAAGATAGACGGAGACTCGCGACGGCGACTGAGCAATTCACACTTCATTTGAAAATTTGCATACATAAATGCCAATACAGATTGCATGTGATGGCTGTGCTAGCCAAAGTTCCAAGATTAACCAACTTCTAATCGTTAGTTGATCAGCTTCGAATTGCATTTTACACCTGGAGAGGGCTAAGCAAAATAGTTTTGATCAGGGAATTGAAATGTATAAAATTTAAAATAAAATAATAATAAGAGCTTAAAAGGTTACTTTGATTACCTTCTTTAAAATATACAATGATTTGCAATTATACTTGTGTTACAATTGAATAATGGTAGTAAAATATAAGTAACATTTCGAATATTTCCTTTAAAACATTAAACATTGTGTAGTTTAAGTTTGGTTACTATAATAAAATAACAATAAAAACACATTTAATTAAAACTAAAGCAAAGTAAACTTAAAATTGTTCTGCATTTTTTAGAATATTAAATATTTTTAAAATCGAGAACAGAAAGTTTCAATTAAATTTAGAATATAATTATGCTTTATGCTTATGGATACTCTAACTGCATTATAGCGTTCACAAGCGTTTTCTCAACAATTTTCAGAGGGCCACGATAAATTACAGAAGACTAGGCTAATTTTTTTGGAGTGCACGTGGGCCAACTTCGGCAGCTCTCACGTTCCCAATATCGAGTCCAATGTTAGGGCTTCGCCGGTGCAGTGGCCCGTTAAATGGGTCGAAGACAAAGCTGCGGTTGTGTTGTTATTGCTGTTGTTGTTGTTGCTGTTGCTGCTGCTGTTGGTAAACGCCCCGCAGAAGAAGACCAAACAAAACCAAGAGCAGAAGCTGGCCAACACGTTGACAATGACAACAATTGTAAGCGACAGAGCAAACATCCATTCAAGCAGCCCAACCAGCAGCCAACCATCCAACCAACCAACCATCCATCCATCTGGCCATCAGGCATTGCCGCAATTTTAAATGACCAAATTCGTCTTGTGGTTTGTACTTGAGAGTCCCAAAACTGGTCAACGAAATGCTATATCAAATCGGCCAAGAAAAAATCAGCCGCAAAGAGAGAACAACTCGGACCAGCTGTCAAATCGACCAAACTGAAAACGAAAATGAATCCGATTTCCAGCCGAAATGTTTTCTTCTTCTCGTGCGTTTTTTTTTTTTTTTTTTGATTCTGTTTTGCACCCGTAAAATGTTAAAATATGTAGCCATAAAATTGCCTTGGCCCAGCTCAAATTGAATGCAATAAATGAAATGTACAAATGAATTAAATGATTGAATTGATGGTCAGGGAGAGATTCAAAAGGAGATTAAGTAAGAGGTGGGTGAAATTTTTCAGTCGAAATGCGTTTCATGGAGTCCGTGCTGCGAGCGAATGTATAATCAGCTATCAAATAGGATAAAGTAAAAGTTATGGAAAATATTCAGTTTTTAAATATATATAGCTAATATATTAAAATGAGGAAATCTGTGTGGAGTGGAAAACAGTATTAAGAAAAGTTTTAAAGATGTAGAATCTGAGAGTATTTTAAAATTTACTGAGACAGCATTTGGACTATCATTTATATTTTAATTGAAATTCTCAGAATTTACTAACCATATTGCAATGTAATTTAACTTAACAAGCTCACACCCTTTCACGTTCTGCAAAAATTGTTATTGACATTGAAGCTTACAAGTCAAAAGTAGATTCTGAGTGTTCTTTATTTTGCTAGTGCATTCACTAGAAATTTTGATCATGCGATCATCATTTCGCAAGCTGATCTTTCTCTGTAATTAGTTGGGTAATCAGCATGAAAATTTGTCCCGTAGTTGTGATAGTATAGCCGAGATGATTAGAAAGAGCTGACTAGTTGATAGGTTGAACTTTCGGCTCAAGGTTTAATTAAAGATTAAATCACTGTCCAGCATTCTTCAAGTACTTTTGGTCGTTGGAAGGGTAGCAAATTAATGCTGAAACCCATCGAACCAGTCTGTTATATCACAAAAACGTGGTTTCTTTCCCTCGTTCTTATTCAAACATTACCATTTGTCTAAAGTTTTGACATAATGTTGAACCACAAGTTTCCACACACACACTCATTTTGATTTACAACCTCAATTACTCGGCCACCGTTTTGGGCAGCCTCAAGAGAACTGAACCGACACCCGACCACGCCATATCGCATATATAGTATACACCAGTACAGAACTGAATAGAACTGAACAGAACTGAACCGAAAAGAAGCGAGTAAACCATCGCCATCTTCAAGTCGTGGGCCATTTATGGATCTAGCAATGCCAAAAGACCGACAAAACATGAGAAGAATTCTTGGGCTCGTATTATTTATTTATTTATTTCGTGTATCACTTAACTGCCGAAATAAACACGATCAAGGCTAACAGCGACAACGGCGATGACAACACGCAGGCTGGAAAACACATTTCGGCACCAGTAATTTCGGCTTCTTTTGGCCAAAGAGCGATAGAACAAGTGCAGATATGTCGACGGTTGTTCTCGCAGCGAACTGAAGGTGAAACTTGGGTATTTATTTATGCAAATTTCCCGCTTGGCTGCCAAATGAAGAACATGTGGCAATGGCGCTGCTCTGATGTTAATGATGTTGGCAAACGCCAAGTGGAGTCGAGTAGCAATGCGAATTCTGGTTTTCTTGCTTTCGGTTGACAAGACTTGCGAAGTCTATTCGTTGCGTATACGCAGTGTTGTCTCTTTGATTGCGGTTTGGCGTTGAACGGAGTCAGCTTTATGGGCCACTTAAGCAATTGATGCTCGTTTGTCGCGCCATCTTCAGGGTTTAACTTAAGTGCACTTTAGTGCAGGTTATGACGAACAATAGAAATGTAATGGTATAAAGATTGCATTTACTGGTAAAAGTAAATTGATTTAACAGCTTATATAATACATTTTTAAAATATAACATTCTTTTATAGGAAACCATGACGTACATATAGTTTTAAATGGGATTATTTTCTGCTGCTTTTCTGCCATAATTGTGTTAATTTTTTTTGGCGGAAACTTCGGATTGCCTGCTGCCAAAGTCATGTCATGTGAAATAATTGCAATTTGCAGTCAGCGGAGCAACAACTACAATGCGATGATGATGATAGTGATGATGATGGAAATGATGATGATAAATGTGGTGTGCTGTGCTGCGGATGATGAGCTGCTGGCCCATGGGGCGTATACAGAATGTAGAATTGGTTTTGGCTCTGCCCGATGATCTCACATGCACTCATTGCATGAAAGAGACCAAAGCGAGCGAATTATCTCTCTCACACACATACACACGCACACTTGCAGATGCACAGAGAGAGCGAGAGAGAGAGAGAGAGAGGGAGAAGTAGCCTTTGTCACTTGGAGCTTTACAGGCCATTACATAACGTCGTAATGAAGCGTCAATCTGCGTCGCAGGTCCAGAAGCAGAAAACAGAAAAGCGAGAGAACCCACAAACACAGACGAGCAGTGTTGTGTGAACATTTCATGGTCACCCATACCAACGAGCCCCATCCGCGCAAGGGTGTGTGTGTCTGTGTGTGAAGTAAATATTCGCATTGTAGCCAAAGAGCAGAAAATACAACCACAAAAAAAAGAAGAAGTCTAGACTCGAATTTCCCGACTATGACATACCTTTTATTTAACCCACATTATAAGAGATGAAAAAAAAGATCTTTAAAGATTCCATTTAATTCCATTTTATAATCTCTACGATTATTTTTTCAATGTCAAAAGTAATGATAATTCTTGAGTTAATTTATAATTGATATTTAGGTTTAAGAATTCCATTTCGCAAACAAATTTTCTACGAAAATAAACTTAAAAAAGCACATTTGAACTAAAAAAAGTGAATATTACTATTATATAGTTATTTAAGGAATCTCAACTTTAAAAACATTTATATATATACAACAATTTGGTGAAGTAGACAACGTGATTGTAAGCAATTTAATAAAAAATATGCTTTTTGGCACCCTCACAAGAAAATGCACGTTGAATTACTATTTACTTTCATTTGCTAAAACCAAGTATACCCTTTTAGTGTATTTGCAACGGGTACACAAAGTACGAAGCCAGTCAAACATTTTTCCAGTGCACTGCGAGCAGTTTTCGCATAGTGGAAACTTTTTCCATGGCATTAAGTACATCCCAAACAGTGGGGATTTGTTGCGACCTTTTCTACAAAACGAAGAGAATTTGCTGTGTAATAATGCAATTGGCTTTTAGTTCCCCTTTTCCCAACTCCACTCTGTATCACTCCCAGCTTCAAGGGTTTGGTAGCCACTTTTTGTTGAGTTTCTGTTTCGAGTTTCACTTTTTTGCCCTCTGCTTTATACACATTTTATTTTTCGCCAGCTCTAGTTTGGCAATTACATGTTGAGCTCTTTTAAATTAATTTTTTAAAGCTGCTGACAGCATAGTAAATGACGTATGCTGGAATAAAACAGAACTAAATTTTTAGCATCATTA